GAGCTGGGCTCTGTCGGCGGCGCCGGCCTCGGGGTTTCTCACCAGGGAGGTGTGGGCAGCTCCTGGTGCTGCCTCGGGGACGGCCCCGGGGCGCACGGAGCCTCCCCGGGGCTGTTGGGTACCTGCACAAACCCGCAGGGCCCGTTTGGCCTCAGAAAACTCAGTGGAGCGGCGTGGTGCGAAGCTGCGCCTTGGGGCTGAGCTGCTGCCCGGTTGTGGCTGCTCTGGGGCGGAGGTTCTGTTCCTGCCTTCTCTGTGCCACCTTTTATGCTACTTTTGTGTTATCTCTGTTGATTGATCTGTTCATTAGGCAAAAAAAAAAAAAAAACACACCAAAAGAAAATCTGGTTTTCCCTTGGGTGGCTTTCCATTAGCTTAGAGAGTAGAAGTGGCTCAGTGCAGGGTTCAGGCATCCTTGGGAGATGGAGTCTCGGAACATCCTCGGAGCAGGACAGTCTTGGTGTTTGGTACTGCTTCACTTGTAAGGTATGGTGTCATCTGTAGGGTTTTGACTGGACTGAATGTCTTGGCAAGATGGGCTGCTGCACAAGATGCTGCTGCACTCTGTATCCCACTCACTCCCCTTCCTCCTGGTTGCTGCCTCCTGTCTCACTTAGCCTCCACCAGCTCCAACTGGAGTTTGACCCACTTGAGGACTGGGCAAACGGGCCAAACCTGGAGGAGGAGGAGGAGGAGGAGGGCCACAGGAGTCATTTGGTTGCTTCAGGGAGCGGAGTTCCCTTGTGCAGAGGTACCGCCAGTGCAAGGGCGGGCAGGTTCATGTGATGAAGTGTGTGGGAGGAAGGAAACGTGGGAACTAGGACCATGTAATGAGCTGCAGTGAGGTGGTAGGTGGGCTGTGCCTCCTCCTCTTTACCTATAAATCTTGAACCCTTTGGTCAGTTCCAAGCAAATGCAAGGAACACAGAAGCCTCCAGGAGAAAATGACTTTCCACAAGTTCTGTGAAATGAGGCCAAAAATAGGAAAGAGATCTTCTAAAATCCCCCATATGGTGGGAAAGGCTGGAAAACAAACTTCTAGGTTTTTAGAGCTGAGAGCATCCATTTGGGAGAGATTATATGAATGTCCCAATTACTAAAAATCTTCCCTTAGAGCTCACAGTCCTGAAACGTGGTATTCCTGGAACTACTTGCTCTATGTTTATTTTTACTCTTCTGTGAACTGGAAGACTTCCTGTAGCTGCTTGCCTAAAACAGCTTGTCAGTTTGACTCTTTAAGATCTTGTCTTGTGGAATCTATTATCTATTTCCCAATTCTGCTGCTCCAGCTACAAAGGCTGGGCCTAGGTCTGAGACTTCGGCTGCCACAACTTCTGAGCTTGGTGTCTTTCTAGAAAGCGTTCCTGGAGAAGAGTGAAGTGCAAGGGCTGTGTAATAGGCCTAAGAAATGTTTTCATGAAAGATTTAATGGAAAAGGAGCATGGAATTCATGCATGCCATTCTGTTTTGCAGAAAAAGATCAATCTGTGCTCTGGATTCAACTTCCAAGATCTTTATCAGAGATCACGATGATCACCCTAGTTGTCCTCAGAGGTAGAAACCAGTTTCGATCTCTCTAGGCATGGTAAACATGTTCTCCTTTGGCTCGTTTAGTCAGATGTTTTTGCATGTTAGATTCTGTGGAGCTCACATCACCCTGTGCAACCAGAGAAGGTCAAAGACTGGAGATGAATTTTGAACTTATTATGGCATAGACATATTTATTATAGCTGATACTGATAATTTTCATCAAAAAAAAAATTCATTGGATGGCTTATTTATTCACAGCATTTTAATTTATTTTCCCTCCATTATGGGAGAACTATCTGCTAATTAACTGAATGAAGAGTCTTGCCTTGGGCAAACTCTGGAAGAGAATTGGCTATAAAATTTAGGACAAGAGACTGGGATTGAATTCTGGCCATTTTGTGAATTGAGAGGCCGTGGATTCTTTTTCTCCATTCTTGCAGAAGATCATTACTAGATAATTAAAAACAGCAGCAACAACAACAAAACCCAAGTCCCATTAAAGCCTAATTTCTAGGCACTTAAGTTTCACTAGGGGATATTCATCTTCCTGCCAGTCTGTAGGAAGTCCTCACTGTGTGATACGCAGTAGAACTTGGTGATGTTGTAGAAGAGTCGCTTTTTCTCAAATCTTGAAGAATAGTGATAAATTTCAACACCATGGTTCCTGTGCAGTCACTTATAGCATGTTGTGCAGTAGCTGCATAAGAACCATTGAATTCTCTTTTGTCCAAAGCTGTTCCGCTTGGCTTTGGAGTCAGGGATTGGGGAACCGCTGCCCTGGGTCTGGAGGAGGAGTGGCTGTGATGGGGCCCTGCCTGAGGTACCAGCGGCAGGGAGAGGGGTGCAGACCGGCTTGAGAGAGTCAGGGGTGAGGAAACGTGGGGCTCCTGGACACCGCAAACCTTGGGGGTCGAGGAGAAGAGGGTGCTGTGGCAGTATCAGGGTTTTGATGGCAGGAAGATTGCCTTAATTTAGATGTGTAGGACGTTGTTACTAGGGATTGCGGCTAGGACAGCTCTTGAATGAGACCTGGCAAAGACTTTGGAAGCCCTTGATGCGAAGGAGTACATTGCCTTCGTTTTCAGGTGGGCAGTTCCAGAAGGTGAATCTCTTAGTTTAGTTCAGAGCCTAAGAGTTGCACAACAGTTGAGAAGGAATCTTCAATTTTAACACAACTGCAACAGTGGCTTAGTGCTGCCCTATGTCCTCCGGCCGTTCATAAAGTTCTGGAATTTCCTCAGCTGTGCAAACAGGATTTTATAAATATTTATTGAAATTAACTTTGTTGCAAATATCACTTATGCCACTGGAGGTAAAGGAGAAGTGGAGGGCAAGGGAGCCGCTTGCTGCTGCTGCCCGTGTTGTTACAAGGTGGCTCTGCACGGGGTCTGCTGGGCGCTTCAGCCTGGCACAGCCCAGCGCGCTTCGGCCGCTGCTGCTGCGCCAGGCTCCGGAGGAGCTCTTGGAAGCTGCACGCAGTGCTGAAAGGAAGGCTGCAAATATGAATGCCTCCAAATATAAAGGCTACTGCACGGGCTTTTGCCAACCTGCTGGGGTGGTAATGCTGAAACACAGTATTAAACAAATGTACAGATCTCCACGTTTGGGTAGCTGCTCAGTTTTATGGAAGTTTTGTTCATGTTTTGAGAGCTATAACTTGAACTTTAGTTTTAACAACCTCATTTTCAAGCAGTGTTTGAGAAACTCTGCGTCCACGTTTATCCTGAATAGATGAGGTTAAATAGGGATGCTTTGTTATCAAAGTCTCACACTCAGAACTTACCATATTCCGGATTTATAACAGTCTAAACCTTCATCTTTCATCCAAAAATAGTTTATTTGAATAGATAAAATCATGCCGAAACTTGACTTCAAAAAAAAAAAAAAAAAAAAAAAAAAAAAAAAAAAGCTGCTGTTTCTACCGTTCCTGCTCCAGCAAGGCTGGGAGAAAGGCAGGAGAAAGAAGGGGCAGGATGGGCTGAAGCCTCACAAAGGACCCCCACTCAGCGCAGAGAGATTCTGTGGGAATTTCAGAGAATAACAGTTTAGCAGGGAGGAATCTCTCAGCTAGTGCTGATTTAGGTCATGTAAATATTAAACGCAAAGGTCTTCAATATAATTATTAACTACAAAATGTTAAACTATCATAAAATATTAAACAAATGCATAAAATATTCATGCATGAAATGCAAAAATGTATTTTTCTCATAACCTGAATTAGAGGGTTTGATCACTGTTACTTAACTCTCAGTTTTTACATTGTTTGCAATGACTGTTGCATTTGGGGTAGATATAGCTGCCTTATTTATATCTGAGAGATGACTAGATCATAACATAAAAATACTGGCATGGGAAAAAATGCTCCATCACAGCAAACAAAATCTAATATTTAAAAAGTTAAGCTGGGCAAGAAACAAGTAAATTTTTGGTTTTTAATGGTAAGTTTTCCTTACTGAAGAAAGGTTAATGTCATTATTTAATGAGCATGTCCCCGTATACTGAATGGTGATGAGACTAAATTAGCCTTGCATGAAGTAAAGACAGAGAGTGGAAAAATTACAGTAAAGTAGCTGGACAAATCTGTGAGGGGTTACATCTGTTCAGCTGCAAATGTTCCTCTTTCTGTGCTGTAGCTAATACTGTCGCTCAGTTTTTATTCCGCTGGTTTCGCGCCTAGGCCTGGCCCGGAGCCGCGGCTGCCTGAACCGAGCTCTGCCCCTCGGAGGGCTGGCACCAACCCAAGTAATCTCCCCTGGAAATTATTTTAGGGGAGAAAAAAGAAATTGAAACACTTTTTTTTTTTTTTTAGTGCAGTCAATTTAAGTCCATGATTAAAACCAAGCAAATAAGTATTTCACTGCACTGGGGCTCTATTTTACGGTAGCTTTTGGGCCTTAGAAGTCATGGGGGTAGATCTTCTAGGGGTTAGTGTGGGTCTTCAAGAGCGTAGGTTACTTTAAAAAAGCAAGGCCCGAACTTGATGTGAGTTGAAAGTTGACTGCATAAATGTTCTCCAAATAAACCTATTAAATATTCATTGATATTGAGTTGCTTAAAATGATAACTGAACTACAAGGTCTGAAACTTGTTCCAGGAGGATCGAATGCTGCAGCTGCACCGGGCCCGATTGATTTCGGTTGCGTTCTGTATGGTGCTTGAGCCCACCTGCACAGAATAAATACATATACAACTGCTGTTTTGAAAACAGGACCCCTTCTGCAGCGCGTACCTCCGACGCAGGAGCTGCTTGGAGCCGTGTTTTCCGTGGCCGCGGAGGAGCGGCACGACAAGGGCAGCGTCACGGCTGCCGTCCCAGTGTTCCCAACGCGCGGAGCAGCAGCTGCTCTCTAACAGCAGGAGGGCACAGAATCCAATTATAGCTTTTAATGTTTGGGATTTCTGATTAGTTTTGCCATTTTAAATGTTGTACTTCTGGTTCACATTCACTTACCATTATTTGTTACTTGCTAAATTTCAAATTGTACAAGGATTGGAGACGGCTTTGTAGCTGCTTATAAAATTTCATACCCGTCTTCAACCAAATGAAATGGAAAAAAGGATTAATTTGAACTTCTTGCTATTGTAATGACTTTCACTGCCAGGAATTGTTTTAGCTCCCTATAGTGTCTGCCCGTTACTTTGTTAATGCCGCAGTCTGATGTGGGTGGGGGTTACGCTTTTATGAACTAGGCCATCTCGCTATGGATGGTGTTATTTGTGATTTGGTATTGCCCAACTGATGCTATTATGGACCTTTCCAAAATTAAAAATAAATGTTTCTGTTCTAGCTGGGTGGGGTGAACGTCGTTTCATCTTTAGTGAACATGTAAAACCAAAAGAAGTATTAGAAGATCCTTAACCTTATCAAATGGCTGCAGCAGAAGCATTTTGTAGGCAAAAAGCTCAAGGATTAGAAATAAAGGATAAAATAACTGCAGGATTTCTATGCTACAACATGTGTCAAAGGTGTCTGCTTTCTCATTGTAAATTATGTCTCAGAAGTTACCAGTAAATTGCTTTAATCTCTTCAAGTTGAAACTTTGTGTTCATTTTGCTAAGCACAAGATGCAAATTACTTTTGTAGAATGTGGCTTTAAATGCTTCACCTGGAGGGCTCTCGGTGAAAATGGCTTCCGCTTCCCCTGTGCGAGAAAGTGCTCCCTTTTCTCCAAGACTTAGCAGTTCTTTCCGTGTTGCTGTTAACAAGCCCTGTGAGAAAAGTTACAGTAACGTTTTGGTCCTGTCAGCGTGGCGGTTGAGGAAAGGATTGCTGTGCTCGGTGGGCTCCGAGCGCTGCCGCGCGTGCGGAGGGGGTGCAGTGTCGATGGCAGCAGCGTGTCGGCGCCGGCGCTCGCCACGCTCACCCTCGCGCTGCCCGAGCCGCCTCCTCGCGCACCCGCCAAGGGCGACGCTGCTGCCGCCTTCGTGGCTCTTTGCTTTGGGCTTGTGCTGGGCATGCAAGCCTTTGCATAGGAGGCTTAGGTCTTAGTTTTCCATATTCCTCACCAGGATTTTCCAGTTGAGTAGCTGGGAGGAATACAAGAATCCTCTTGCTAAGGAACGTAAAGATCACTTATAGCACGCTTAGCTCCTGGACTCTGCTGTGCTGTTTTGTTCTTTTCATTGTCATGTTTTTAAATTTTATATACAGTGATACCAGACCTATACCAGAATTTGTGTTTTGTCTGCCCTGTGACCGTAAGCACGTCCCATACTTCTCAAATCTGTGCCCGTCACAAGAAGTGCCCTGCCACGGAGATGGGCTGCAGTGCGGCCCTGCGAGCGCAGGGGAAGGGCTGCGAGAGCTGCTGCACGGAGAGACCCCCCAGCTGCGGCGCTCAGCCCGCCCCGACCCCGTCCCTCGCGACGGGGCAGCCGACCCCGCAGGAGCCCCCAGGCGCCGCGGCTCGGAGCTCTGCCCTGCCTGGCTGCGGCTCCGCGGCTGCTGGGGCTGCCTTGGGGGCGAGGGGGCCCCGCAGTGCCCTGCCCTGGTGACTGCGGGGCTGGGCTGGCTGCAGAGCAGGCACGAGGCGGGTATCCTGCCAAAAGGAAAATGTCTCCAGTTACGTCCCTGCAACCTAATTCTAGTCAAAAGAGAGTTGACAATTTTCTTCTGGGGAAAAAAAAAAAAAAAGAAATGCCCTGCTTGAAGCCACGTGTTTTTTCCCTGGCTTTTCATTTCTGAGTGACCTTCATTGTATGCTCTGGACTCTTCCTTCTTGGAGGCAGAAAGCAGGGGCAGGGCACTCGGGAAGACACATTTTCTGTGTGGGAACTGTTTATGAACTACATCATGTCCAAGGCAGCCATGGTTGCTTTATACCCTCGTCATGCAGCAGCCGCATCCACCCTCCTGCTTTCCTCCCTCCAAGCCGCCTCTGTGCTCGCCGGGAGTGCTGCTGAGTCCGACTTTCCATGGGGCCCGAGGCGTTCCCGGCGCCAGCAGCCTCCCGTGCCAGCACTTCTACCCAGCGGAGCCATTGCTCTGTACGCTGTAACTTAGGCAGCAGGCAAAGGAGCCACGCGAAAGAGCCGCGGCTGCAAAGCACATGTGGGAGCGCTGCTGCGGGCAGTCTGACCCACGCACCCGGCGCCTCGGCCCGCGCGGCCTCCGGGCTGGTTCTTCCTCCCAGGCTGCTGCGTCCTGGGCCCAGCTGCTTCATTGGGTTTTAGGTAAACAGTTGTACTACTGCCTTTAATTATAGCGTCTCTAAGGCACAGAAATGATGCAAAACTCCTTCAAGTGTTATACATAGGGTGGTGAATTTCTAGATGTATCAAACAGAACCAACTACCTTTGGCTGCAGTGCAGTGGAGACAGCCCGGCCTGTGGAGAGCAGAGGGCTGCAGGGGGGCTCTGCTCAGAGGGGCAGGACTGACCCTCTCCACGTGGGTGACTAGAGGCCAACGCTTGTTAACGCCACGGTTATTTGGTTCCTTCAAGGCGCTCTGGGGAAAGGGGTCCTAGGGACCCTGTGCGCGGTGCTCGGGTCGCGGCAGCCGCGGGGCTCAGCACCTCCGCCGCGCAGCGTGTGCCTCAACGCTCCTGGCCGTGCCGCAGCTGCAGTCCAGGCGAGTAGAAAACTGCAAAATAGCTGGTTATTTATAATGGATGTAAACTATTTTTAAGAACTGGAGGAAGATGTATTTGCTTCCTTTTGAGCCACATCACGAATATCAAGTTTGGGGGGTTTTGTGCTTTTGTTGTTACGCTTTCGGTTTTTTTGAGAACTTATAGGCCTTAGAGAACTTGGAGCTTCTGCAAGTAACTCTGTAGGGAAGCTGTAGAGGGGACCCTCTGCTTTTCAAGCCTTTTGTCTTTGTTATTTTTCCCCTCCTTCCTCCGTTTTTTCCTGTTTCCTGCCACCCGCGCAGCTAGCCGAG